GCAGCGTCGTTTTGACGGGTGAACTCCTCGTCCTTATCGTCATCAGACGAGGAATCGTAGAATCGGTCAAATATCTTCGGCGTCCTTTGATTCTCGTCGAGGTTGAAACTGAGATAGGTGCTGTGGCTGCAATCGCTGCCGTCTTCAGAGTCGGGACTCACTAGTGGCGGCGGCGGAGAGAAGATGAAGTTTTGACTGTTTGCGTGAAATTTACCGTGCTCGCCGGCGCTTGTTGTATTGGTAGCAACGGTAGCCGCCGTGAAAGGTGAGAAAAAGTCGCCGTCGTCATCGTCGATCCAGCTATCCATTTTGTGCACGGAACCTGGCAAGCTAAGAAGGGTTATTCCGGGCACCTAAGAAAGATTTCCGTCCGGCGTATTATACTTCCACTTGGCCTTGGGTAGTTGCTTTTGGATAAACAATTTAGAGCTGTTCACAAAATACCGTAGGTCACAAAATTTACAAATTAATCATTTATAACTGAATTTATATTTTAAAATTATTTTAGATTATTTAAATTTTCTTTTAAAGTTTACAAATAGTAAGTAGTAAGTGATGATGTTAAACCAACGTAATAATAAGTCACAAAAGCAAAAGAGTTGTAGGTAGGAACACATTTAACTCGATTTGTTATTAATGATGTAGGGACCGATTACAAATTACCAGCCGTATGGATTATTAATTGTTTCTCTTCTCAATGAGGCTTTCACTCTTATTTATAAGAATAGAAAACACTTTTTAATCGATACTTTTATCTCAAGGCATCCTCCCGGCCAGTATTCAAGCCGGCCAGTCTTCAACCCTTTTACGAATGAAGTCATGATCTCACAGGTTTGACCCCCTTGACATCCAACCGGTCAAACTACCAGGGTTGGTGAGGTCCGGTGGGTTCAGACTTTGATACCTCCCGGGTAGACCTGATCAAAGTGCTCGCCGGGCCGGGTTTCGGACCAGGCCGAGACACTACTTTACGAAAATTTTCTAGGCTTGAGCCCGTCCCGGCCCATATAACGAGCCTAACAATTGAAGCCCAAGCCCGGCCCGCATGGTTACCCGCGGGTTTCGGGCTTGCCCGGTCCGGCCGACAAAAACTTCTAAATAATTTTAAAATAATTTTTTTTAAAAAAGTTACAAATTAATATATTAGATATTTGATATAAAAACTATTATGAGTGAATGAAAGAAAAATTGATATATAAATATATTTTGTTTGATATTGCTACTATGTATGGAGTACAAAATATTATCTATTGGAATGTCATAATCAATGTCTGATACATTGCAAACAATACGGAGTAGTAAAGATGTATTTATCTTATTATATATACTTATAGTTTAGTTTTTCTCTCCATAGAAGTATGTATGTGTGTTTATAATAATTTGAAATAGGTTTGTTCTCAATTATTATTATTATTATTAATGTTGTTATTGTTATTTTATTATAATTATATTAATAATAAATATTTAATTTATTCGGGCCGGGCCGGGCCGTGGGCTTGAGCATAAACTCGAGCCCGGTCCTAAAAAATTTGGGCCGCCATTTATAAAGCTCAAGCCCGGCCCGTACCCTAAAATATCAATCCCAAGTCCGCTATTTTTTGGGCGGGCCAGATACCCGAGCCCGTGATCGGGTCTACTAGTCCCGGGCGCCTGTGGAATTGTCGGGTGGTGCCAATGGTTATACCCATTGGTAAGTTTGTGAATTTTGTGACAATTTTGTTTATGAATCTAGCATTTCTCAAACAAAAATGATTTCTATTTGAATAAGCAAAAATTTCAAATAAAATTTGTTGGGATACATAGTAGCCAGTCAAAATTGTTTATAAATTGTTTTTAACTTTATTAATAAGCAGAGAACACATTTCTCTGTGCTTATAGCTGGCTTATAAATTACCTATAAGTGACAAATTTGGTCAATTTACCTACTTATTTTAAAAGCAATTTTTTTGTTTCTCTGTTTTGATTAGATCATTCACAAATTATCTCTTATCTATTATAAATATCTCCAAATGACTTATATATCATTTATATCATTTTATATACACGAAAAAATATTTAACTTTTAATCAGTTTATAAGTTAAATACGGTTTATCAACAATAAGTCAATAAATATCATTACAGAGAATTATCTCCATAAATAGGGGGAGAGGAAAATTAAAATAGGTTTAAATATAGAAAAATACCAAAATAAGAGTATTATATTTTTATTTCAAAAATATAAGTTACAATGCTAATAAAGCCAATATATAATACCAAAAAATGCTTTGAAATATGCAGTTGTTATTTTGGTACTTTCTTTATATTTTGCTCATATTTTGGATGATTACTTAAACAAGAATGAGTAGTTCGAGATTTTTATAGAATATGTATTGTACCATTTTATTAAAGGTTCAATTTTATGACCAAAAGCACTCGGTGTAATATCACTCCAGACTGATATAGTACAATATCTCACCAATGTCAAATCATATCATAGTATTTTAAAAATTAAAAATAATATTAAGTTATTGTTAAATCCACTTCAAGTTCGACTATATCCACTCTTTTTTGTGTCTAATACACAATCTTACCCTACACTATGTTTGGTTTAAGGAATTTGAAAGGGAAAAGAAAAGAAAATGAAGTGGAAAACAGTTTTTCTTGTTTGGTTATAAGAGAAAAGAAAGAAAAGTGGAAGGAAAAGAAAATGAGAATGCAAAATGTACCAAGTTGAGGAAAAATCAAATTTCTCCCATTTTGGTGAGAAATATGAGAGAAAACCATTTTCTTTTTTTTCCTTCCAAATTCATTGAACCAAACATAGTGTTAATGTTTGTCACGGGGAAACAAAGAAGTGAAAGGTATTGATTAAATTATTCTCGATCTCTCCCAACCGAACAATGAGAGAACTATGTTGATTGGAGGTCCAAAGTACCATGTTTTACCTTACCCATTATGCGATTCGGCCTAATGGATCAATGTGAAACCTAAACCCAAACAAACAGAATCGCAAAAAAGTTGAAAAAATAGAGAAAGTTATTTAAATAACCAAGTGAGTTATCCAAATAACCCATCTAGTTTTTAGACATAAAGCCACTTTGGGCCGAATCAAATCATGTTAGGCTGGATTGTATGAATATTCATATTACGAATGTGGTTATTCGAATAACTATTTCATCTTTTACGTCTGATCTCTGCGGTTGGGCAAAAATGTTCAGTGACATTTTGAGGGTCATCTCAACCACAAAACTCAACCAAATAACATATAAAATTTTTATATCATCTATAGATCTTTCGAACGGTTAAAATTGTGTTTTCAACATAAAACATAAAGATCAAAAAAATTAAATTAAAAACGTTGGCCAAGTTTTTTAAATATATAAAGCTAACATACAAATCAACCATAATAATCCATTTATGAACATAAAATTGATCTAGATTTGTATCCTATCATTATATAGGTCCCCAGACTCACCTTGAAAATGAAACGAATTAAAATAATAATCGAAACGGGCAACGGAACTACGACTCATAATAGTGACCACTGGTGTATAAAGAAGGGAGGAGAGAGGTATAACACATAAGATTAGGCTACGAGAAGATGCAAAGTATTTTACACTTTAATTATCATGCGTGCTCCGTAGCTAAATAACGTACCCGAAATAAAAAATTTTATGTCTATTGCAATTATTACAATTAGCCGGATTGTCTCTACGCTATAGTACAATGTTCACAATCATTAGATAAATTTATAATGATAGACCTTGTCTTGGGTGTTTACATAAGGGTTGGTCAATTAAGCATTGATCCTCTCATAATACAACATTACCTGCCAGCCCGGTCGAGCAAGAAGCTAGAGTCAAGTGGTAGTAGACTTCTTGTATGATGCATAACAAGGTAGGGAAAATTCATGTACTCCCTCCGTCCTAAAACTTTCTTCACAGAGCATTATTCCAACTTTACGGGAATTTATATTTATTTGTGTTTTTTCATGGCCTATATGATAAAATAAAATATTCTTGTCACCACTTGTTTTGTTGAACTTTTGATGTAGTTTTTAAATATGTATGTTTTATTTTTTATTTCTATACCAATATTTAAATAAAATAGATTGAAAAAATTTGGGATTTTTCTTTGTTTTGCATAACGGGAAAAAAGATATAGGACGAAGGGAGTATCTATCAGACACACACTTATTTGACCTTTCCAAGTCAAACTAGAAAAATTTTGATCATTAGTTTAAAAAAATTACATTGTATATTTATAAAATATAGTGATTATTTTTAAATATATTATAAATTAAATCTAACTAAATCATTTTTGTATTAATATGCAATGTAATAATCAATGATCATAGTTTGCCCTTGTACCCCTGAGGCTTTTGTCCGTGTAGATGGTGGTTGAGCACGTCACCCATTGAGCTGTAATTTTGTTTAATTACTATAAAAAATTTAAATAAATAAAAAGAAATGTGATTTTGTTATATATTTTGTGTAAATTTATATGAGCCGGTAGAAGCATAAGATAGAAACACAGTCTTTCTAATAACGAATATTTCTAAAACTTTCTAGTTTATTTTGAAAGGTTAGATCTAATTGGATCTGTTTAAATTATTGTTTTTATATGACTCATATTTGTAATACTTCATCAATCGTAGAGTGCTCGTTCAATTTGATTTTTTATTCAATTAAACTAGACGAAAGACTAGAATTTTTTATTAATTTATGCGGAGTAATTAAATTTAATCAAATTTTATTTAAAAAAGTCAAAGTGAGAACTATTCTTTGAGTTGACCAAGAGTGCAATAATAGAAAAAGAAGTGGGTGAACTTTAAAGCTCAAACAGTTTAGGAAGAGGGGGAGTAGAAAATCTCAAAATCAAACAAGAAATAATGCAATTTGCTGCACCCATATGCCAATTGTCTCATTTATTGGCAGAGGAGCAAGCAAAAGGATGGAGAGAAAGGACTTTGTACTTTCCTGTGAAGACAATTCTCACTGTCTTAAACACAGTGGAAAGCCAACTCAACAAACATATGGAGTATTATCATTCTTTATTGCTCCATTTCCACTCTAACATGAACATGTGAACCACCAAACTCCATGACAAAAATTGCCTCTTTTTTTCTTCCTGTTATTTTGCCTTAAAAGTTTTTTTTACAACTTTATTTTCTTAAATTTGAGGTATTTTTGAGAGTGAATAATGAAATTCGGACGGATCTCCACCATATATTTATAGCCCACATTTTTTTTCAATGTTTTATTTGCTCTGCAAACTGCCCACCTAAACAATTGGTATGCTACTCTGTATTCACTAAATTCCTTTTCTCTTTCTTGCAATGAAAAAAGAATGATTTTCTTGTTCTTGTAGTTAAGCATAAATGGAGATGACTGTAAAATTGCAGAATTTCTGATTCTTTCTTATCCAATTTAGTAAATGCTTGGATTTGTTGGAAGAATACAATACAAGATTAGAAGATGGTCCTTCCTGCTAATTTGGTAGTCAAGATTGTATTTTGGGCGATTGGGTTTCATCTTCTTGCTAAATCAGTAGCCATTTCTGGTGCTGGTGTTAATGAGAGATTGAACATATGGCCTATGCCCAGATCAGTTAGCCATGGCCACCACAGTCTTTATTTGAGCAGTGATTTTGAGCTCAAGACTGAAGGAAGCAGTTATTTGGATGTCTCTGGGGTTCTCAAGGATGGGTTCTTTAGGACACTTGATATGATCCGAGGACCACATGTCATTGATGCCAACAATATCTCTGTCCTTAACCAGTCTCGCGTGCTCAAAGGAATTCATGTGGACGTTCGTTCGCCTAGCGATGAGGTACCCAATTTATCCCATCCCTTTATGTTCATAGAATGTTAAGTGTTACAGCATCTCACATTGGAAAATCTAGAGAACGAATATTGGGTTATTAAGGCCTCGAGTAGAATTAAATAACCTACACGATTCAGTGATATTTGGACGCGAATCCAATTATTACACCATATGCTGATGAAAAACTCCATTAATCTGCGAGGACATGACTCAAAGCAGACAATATCATACTAATGCCAGGGTTAGAGTGATGGCAGACAGTCCCAACAAGTGACTTCAACTCAACCTTAAAGTCTATTGTTAAGCCGTATTTATGTCAACCATGGGGTCCTATAGATTGGCATTTTAGGAAAGGAACGCAAAGTCTTGATATAGATTATCTGCAATGCAGCTGCAACATGGAGTTGATGAATCGTACAACTTGTCTATAACTGATAATGGAGATCCAATATATGCATATCTCCAGGTAGGTGTCGCCAGGTCTGTTGCGTTCATGGATTTACGCCATCTGCGATCTCCAATTTTTAAAAGTATCGCAATTGTTATGCAGGCACAAACAGTTTATGGGGCTCTTCATGGGTTGCAGGTTTCATGCTTTCACAATCTCATTCTAAGATGCTATTATAATGATCAAATTTACTCTTACTTTGCTTGTTACTAATGCCGCAGACGTTTAGCCAATTGTGCTATTTCAACTTCACAGCCAAAGCAGTTGAAGTTCGTCAAGTGCCGTGGATGATTTTGGACCAGCCAAGGTTCTCTTATAGAGGCCTTTTGATTGGTCAGATTCTTCTGATATTGCCCTTCTTCGTAATCTGTGAAATACCCCGAATTGGTATATTCTTCTTTACTTCTGCTTTTTGTGATGCAGATACCGCGCGGCATTATCTGCCACTTCCAGTTATAAAGAAGGTTATTGACTCTATGACATATTCAAAGCTGGTATGTTACTTCGGCTCCATTTGGCATTAGCTTTAGCATTTTGAAAATGGTATCCAACGATATGTTTTAGAATATTATCCAAAACATTAACCCAATCACTGTTAGACCTCGAAAAGCTAGGCCAAACTGAGCCTTACCAACTTTTCATCATTCATGTAAAAAGCATTGAACAATGTGGCCATGTTTGAGAACTCAAAACCAAGTCTGCCTTTTGGCTTGTGCAGAATGTATTGCATTGGCATATTGTGGACACACAATCATTTCCACTTGAGTTGCCTTCATTTCCCAAACTGTGGGACGGTGCTTATTCTACTTCGGAGCGGTACACGACAAGCGATGCCACTGAAATTGTGAGGTAAGTGACAATTTATTATTGTTTTTATGTTTCCTTTTGTCGTTTTGAATCTTCTCTTCTAATACGAGAGTTTCAGATACGCACAAAGACGCGGAATCAATGTATTGGCCGAAATTGATGTTCCAGGGCATGCACAGTCATGGTAAGGTTTGAATCCATTACAGTCTTGTGGTGGGACCCTTCCCCGAACCATTGCTCCAAAAGGATGCTAAGTTCACTGGGCTGCCCTTTTGTTTACGAATTGGTTAGCTAACAGTTGGTATAAACTGTATAGGGGTGTAGGGTACCCTTTGTTATGGCCATCAAGAGATTGTCAACAGCCATTAGATGTGAGCAATGAATTTACCTTCAGAGTCATCGATGGGGTTCTCTCCGGTAATTCTCCCCCCCCCCCCAAATTAGCGTAAAAATTAATTTTTTTGATATAGAGGGAGTAACAGAATGTGTGTGGCACTTCATATTCTTGCTTTTCAGATTTTAGTAAGATATTCAAATACAGATTTATTCATCTTGGGGGAGACGAAGTGAACACGAGTGAGTTTCATCTTTGAGTTTTTTTTACCATTAATAAGATTTCACCATCCGTCTTTATCTGCAAAAAATATATACTCCCTCCGTCCCAAAAAAATTTACACCTTTCAAAAAAATTTCGTCTCACAATCTCCTACCCATTTCTATTAAAAAACCACTTTTACCCCTTACTTTTTCAAACCCTACCTATCACATCATACCTTTTTCTTAATAATCTACATATCACATTTTACTTTTACCCATCACATCAAGGGTATTTTTGGAAAGTCAATACAAAATTATCCTCCCTTAATTTTAACTTTAGTCAAAACGTGTAAATCTTTTTGGGACGGATGTAGTATATGTTTACCAGATGAACGATGGAATTACTAAAAGGTGCGATATATGGGGTTTTAACTGCAGGTTGTTGGACATCAACTCCCCGTATAAACAAGTGGTAACGTTTGATATAACAATACCGTTTGCATAGAGGAATTCTATGTGCACTCTTGCCTCAGAGTACAAATTGCACTCCCAATCATATTGTGACATGTAGACAGTGGCAAAATATGATTGGGGTGCAATTTGCAACCTCTAGGTGAGAGTGCAAATAACATTTCTCCGTTTTCATTCGGTGATGAAGACCCAACATAAATTGAAATCATTTGGCGACCTTCTCAATAGGTTAAAGAAACGCCAATGGGATGGACCCCTAGCATACCAATATTTTGTCTTGAGAGCACAGAAGATTGCTTTATCCCATGGCTATGATGTTATAAACTGGTAAGCAAGACCCTACTATGTGTGGGATTTTACTGGGTTTGTTGTTGTCGTAATTTCAAGTGTTGGACTACATGATAACGCAATATATGTTTTAAATGAAACAAAATTTTCAGGGAAGAGACCTTCAACAATTTCGGCAAAAAACTGAGTCCCAAAACTGTTGTCCACAACTGGTATTGTATAGCAAGTCTCTCGTTTATGACAAGCGATTTTTCTTATTGTTCTCATTTTTGAGCCAAACGACTTCCTTGATAAAAAAAAGCCACCCAAACACACTCTAAATCAACACGACATCCTCATATAATCAACATTTCAAACAGGCTTGGTTCTGGTGTGGCTCAACAAGTGGTTGCTGCAGGGTTGCGGTGCATCGTGAGCAACCAAGACAAGTGGTATCTTGACCATTTAGATGCTACGTGGCAAGGTTTTTACACGAATGAGCCACTCGCTAACATCACCGACCCAAAGCAGCAGGCGCTAGTTCTTGGTGGGGAGGTTTGCATGTGGGGAGAAAACATTGATGGTTCAGATATAGAGCAGACAATATGGCCCCGTGCTGCTGCCGCCGCAGGTAACCTTTTTTTTCTTACCACACCTAAAAGCCAATAGCCATAGGTACCATGCGCGTGCACTACGCAGCCCAACAAAAAATCATCCCAAAATTGTATAACTAGAGCAAAGTTTGAATAATTTCTGGATTAGCAAACAACAACAAAGAACAAACCCAGTATAATCCTGCAAAAATAGGGTTTGGGGGGTGTACTCCTAAAACATAGACAAAAGAAGCATACAAGCCGACTCTATGAACAAGACATAAAGCACAAAATCATAATAATAAATTAAGCATGAACTAAATAGTTTAGAAATTACCAAAACATGGGTTGGGTCTTGAAGTAGGCCCGGGTTGAAAGCTGAACCCCATGCCCACACCTAAAACAAATATATTGGTTGATGTGGTAGATAACTAACTCCTGTTTTTTTTTACAATCTTGTTGAATGAATTAAAGAGAGGCTATGGGCGTCATATGACAACCTCGCCACGGATCCGCTTAAAGCTGCTGGAAGGCTGTCACACTTCAGGTGCCTGTTGAACCAAAGAGGAGTGGGTGCTGCCCCGCTGTTCGGTTTAGGCAGAGAAGCACCATTAGAGCCAGGTTCTTGCCATTTGCAATAGCTCATAGGCAAGGAACAAACTGTACCATTATCATCATCTTATACTTGTCTCTCTTGGTTCATCAAATGTAATGTGAATCTGTTGGTATCAATTGAAATGACAATGTTTCTTATTGTGTTCCAATGCACCTTTTTTTTGTACATGGCCACAAAACAATGGAAGCCTGGCAAACACTGATCAGGGTCTCCAAGGTGGAGATGGTGGTGGAGTTGTTGGATATAACGGCGGAACACTAGAGAAAATGGTGTTCTTGTCAACCCCAGACCCTCCGCTGGTGGTTAGAGACACAAGTGCCGCAACCAAGCCTGCATTTCCAGCCAAAGTAGGCTCAGTGTAGGCATAACTGGTGCGCGAATCTTGAAACTGATCAAACCGGTTCGGGCCACCAACCATGGCGCCGGTTATGTTGTTTGGGTTGGGGTCTTTGGTGTCTCGCCACTTCCACCCACCCGTGCACGAGTACTCCATCTTGTTGTTTGGGATGGACGCCCCCCGGTGATGAACGTGTCTGGGAAATCTTGCTCCATAACCCACCACATAGCTCAAGTTCAATGGATTCTCACCTAATACATAATTGATCTGCATTTTCCCAAAACATTTCATTAAACACTATAGGTTAAACATTAGTGATTCTTTCTGATGAAGATTACAAACCTGGGAAGCGGCAAAACCGCGAAGAACATCCAACCCGATAAAGTAAGGACCGCAATTCATTCCAGGGATATAAGTTGCTTCCATGTAATCAGCAAACAGAGATGCCAAGAAGGCTGCATTCACAACATATTGCAACGGTTGGCCCTGCCCGTGGTTCAACTGGATCAACCCGCCTGCAAACCGATTCACAAATCGATCGATTCAAACTTGCTGCAGTTCAAAAGGGGAATCAGAAGATAAGAGAGTTAGAACTTGGTTCTCAATCCTTACCTGGGGTGAAATTGAAGACATTAAACTGTTGGAGGAAAGAGCACATAGTGAGAGTGGTGACATTGTGATAGCTCTGCAACATTTCTTCGTACGGGTAACCCGGATTCAATAGGATCCGTAATCGGGTCAAGAGCAGCATTGCCCCGGGCAGCTTGTTATCCCAGCTCAGAACGCTCAGATCCGGATTAACCGCTAGGGCATTCGCATTTGCGGCGATTCGGGAATCGGTGGCCAGGGATAGGTAACTGCTATTCCCGGTGGCATAGTACAGCCAGACGGCGGCCCAGAGGTACTCGTCGAAGTAGCCGGTGGAGTTGTAGTAGGGCTCGATGTACGGATTCCCGCGGCTGTAGGTCGATCTCTTGCCGCTGTCCCTGGCGAAGGCGAACAGGGCTTCCGCGCCGCCGGAGAGCTTGGCGGAGTACGCCGCGTCGTCGCGGAACACGATCGAAGCCGCCGAAAGCGCGGCCGCCATTTCTCCGGCGAGGTCCGGCCCCGCGTACGCCGTCTGGACTGGGCGGGCGTACGCCATGTCCTCCGCCCTCTGCCAGCAGTAATGATCGTCCGGCGTTTTCGAGCCGTTGCGTGACCCGCCCACCTGGCTGTAGATTTTGCCAACCGGGGAAGCGGAGGAGTTGAAAGTGCGGAGAAGATAATCGGTGCCCCAGCGGATGAGGCTCCGGACGTGATGATACTCTCCGGTGGCGCGGAACTTGTGCTCGTACTCTATCGCGCTCCAGCTCAGCATCGTCATGGCGAAGGACATCGGAAAATGGAATTTGGTGTTGTCTCCGGCGTCGTAGAACCCTCCGGTAAGCCCTCCCTTCCCGTCCGCCGTCACATTTGCGCCGTCCCTCAGCCCTGAATCTCTTCTCCACGGGATGCCATTGTTCTTCGGCAGCTTCCCCGCTACACAACAATAACCATACATAACATTTGATTGTTAAAACTTTAATTATGAGGGGTATTTTGATATTTTTCATCAACTATATTTAAAATAAGTTTTTAAAATAATCATTTCTATTTAAATGCTTTTCCAGTTTTCCCAATATGACTTTTTTCTAATTAAAGACTTGTATTTGATTCAAATTTTAAAAACTTTTATTATAGATTTTTAATAATTTATGACTTTATGTACTCCCTCCGTTCCCTGAGTGTTTGTCCACTTTCATTTTTGCACACCATCCAATGTACTTCTTTAATTCATTTTATCTTGTAATTTGTATATTAAAAAATTATAAAAATTATATATTAATAATCTATATGTTAAGACGAATCAAACAAGATCACACATGACTATTTTTAAGCTTACACATTGAGAGAATTTGATGAGTCAAAGTGCTTAGATGAACAGTTCCAAAAGTCAAAAGTGGACAAATACTCAGGGACGGACCCAGTATTATGTAGAGTCAATGTGTTTTATTAATTTTACATTTAATTGTATAGAAATTACCATTTGGAAAATATACTTTAAATTTAGATGATAAAAATATCAAAATACCCTTTAATTAAATATCATGTGAGTAACATTTTTTACGAACCCTCTCAATTATAAAAGACCTCATATGTAATTAGAACTTATTGAGGACTAAATTTGGAAAGTACCTTATTAAAGAGGATCATTTTAATAATTTACTCTTAGATAAATTTTAAAATGCTAAAACTAAACACGAAGCTGTTGTCAAACATGCAATCTATCTGTATCTATATTTATATAATATTTATATAAAAGTTGGATAGCCAAAAGACATGCTCATATACTCCCACATTTCTAAAAAAAATGGTTTTTCACTCTCATCTTTTATCCGCCCAAAAATTATTTCATTTTAAATTTAAGTCTTTTAATTATCAATCTAATAATTATTAGCTTACGTATTACATCAAAACAATCACTATTAATTTCGTCATCACTATACTTTTGCTAAGAGCATGTTTGGGAATAGTGTTAGCGATTAACGTTAGCGTTTTGAAAAGGCTATCTACAGGCAGCGTTTAGCGTTAACGTTTTCAAAGTAATCTGCACCGTTAAAATTTTATCCAAAACATTATCGCTAATTTCTAATGTTGTTCCCAAACAGGCTCTAAATGAATTTTGGGACGAGTGTTTCATTGTACATTTCTATTAAGAGAGTAATAATAAAAAATTACAAAATGATAATTTCCATATATGTAGAATAATTCTCCATACATAGTAATTTAAATTAAAAATAGTAAAATATATTGCTCCATATTTTAGAATGGAGTAAATTTCCAAAATGGTCTTTTGTAATAAAGTATTTTCCCAACTCAGTCCTCAATAAATTTTAATTACCTAAATGGTCCTCTATAATTGAGATTTATTTCCAATATAGTCCTTCGTAAATAATGTTACTCAAATGGTGATTAATTGAGAGATATTTTGGTATTTTGATTATCCAAATTTAAAGTATATTCTCAAAAAAGTTATTTCTGTACAACTAAATGTAAAATTGAAAAAATACAACTATAAATAATTCATGAATTATTCAAAACTTATAAAAATCTTTTAAATTTCAAATTAAATACACATCTTTAAATTTGATCATTTTAAGAATTATTTTGATCATTTTAAGAATTATTTCTAAATTTAGCGGATAAAAATATCAAAATACTCTCAATTAATCCTCATTTGAGCAACATTATTTACGAGGAACCTCTTGGGAATAAATCTCAATTATAGAGGACTACATAGGTAATTAAAATTTATTGAAGACTGATTTGGAAAAACATCTTATTACAAAGGACTATTTTGAGAATTTACTCTTTAAAATGAGAAGATTTGAAATATATGAAAGGTACTACGTTCAACCTAACATATATAATTTGGTACAAAAGTCAAAAAACTAATGTATGTAAAACTAAATTGACAAATTACGCACTAATATCTCAAGAAAATGTTACTTCAAAAAAATATAAGAAAATATAAAGAGCATCTTCTTCAATTAAATTTCACCATAATTTTAATTGAAGTGTATGTAGAGTCCGAAATCCATCTAAACCTAAACTTCATACTTTTTTTTTGGTAATTTTAAAATAAATTTTACACGAAACCTCCATTTCATAAGAAATGAAACTAAATACTCTTGCATTTTTTTCTTTAAATTATTTTTCTAAATGTAGTGAAAGCAAATACAAAAGTTTATTTAGTCAGAAAAAAGGTGTTAGTGGTCAAAATTCACAACCTGATTCATTCGACAATGAACATTAATATCATAGAATGACCTAGACTTCTTACAAATTTCATTCTAGCAAAAAATTAATAGGTCTTACCCCTAACTCCACATGCCCCTCTCAATTGGCATTGAGAGGAGGTGCAAGACATCAGAAGAGGTTTAGGGAGAGACGGAGAGCAAAAAGCTAAGGTTGTTATGAATCATTAGTTTTTCGAACAGAATACCGTAAAAGAATTAGACTATAACATGAGATTGGGACCAACGTCACATGAACCGCTTCTTGAAATTTAACACACTAAAAGATGAAAATTTAGAGAAAAGAGAAATTCAAATTGATAGCCCACCATAGCTTTTTTTTCTAGTGGGTGGGGGTGGGGGGGGGGGGGNTATGTGTTTCACTCATGAATAATTCTACACATTGCCGAAACTAACGGCACCACGGGGTGAATGGTTTAGAGCGAATATTGCTAATTAAGGCAATTAATTAAACAACTTTTATTACTTTTTCTACCCTTTATTTTGTGTGTTTATGTTACGTGTACAATGCATTAGACCACTAATTATTAGCTGCTTTACTCTTTTTTTCCCCATCCAAATTAAAACTTCATTATACATTGAATTCCATTGGTAGTAATTAACTCTTTATAATATTAATATTGAAAATCATGCGATTAATATGGATCTTGACTCTAAAAACTAATTTCACGTAATACGTAATATTAAGCATGTCTAAATTAATAATGAAAACTTTATAAGATAATAACTAATTCAGAATATGTTGCAACTATATATGTTTAGTGACTTAACAATATTTTTATACATGTGATTAATTATGATCATTTTCGAAGTGGACCGAATATTAATATAATGGGTTTGTGGGGGTAATATTTATGAAGTGGTTCAATACTTTATTTGCGAAAATGGAAACATGACAATTATTTAGAACTAACAAATTAAAAAGGAAATGTGATCATAAATAACCAATATAATTACCCTAACTTAAAATGAAATTTGAGTAATATACTAATGAGATTGACATAATTGTTAATAAGCATAATTTGTGAGATTGTGACTTGGGTAACTATTCAATTTTTTCCTTAAAAAGAGACTCGGGGAAAAAATTTGAAATAACTCAAATAATTAATAGCGGACATAGTTAAACACGGAGTAATAAAATTGTTCAGACATACTCGTGAACAATTACCCGAGTAATTAAATCTTACGATGTTTAATTGATCTCAAATTAATGGAAAATCGAAACGCAATAATCTTAAATTATTAAACTCATGGTCAACAAATCGAAATTAATAACAGCATAAATATGTAATAGATTTGGAAACAACCTTAGGGGTTAGAATTAACGTTTTTAAAGACTTACACCTTTTTCTGTTCCAAAAAAATAATTTCACCCGAAAAAAATTGTGCATTCAACGAGATATTTCTATCTTACCTAAAATGTTTAAAATATCCTTAAACACAATTTTTACCTAGATTAAAGAAGAATTGTGGTGTGTTTAAGTAGGTTAGAGATTGTAAAAGTGTTTTGTGATGCACAAAAAAATTAAGATGGAATTGTTTTATAAATGAGCAACGGCCTGTTTGGGAATTAGCATTAATATTTTGGATAAAGTTTTAACAGTGGAGAATACTTTGAAAATGCTAACACTAAACACAATGTCTGTAGATAACTAACGTTATTTACAAAGAGACTCCAAATATATAATTAAATTATAAATGCTTAATTACTTACATTTTTGGGCGTTGAAGAAGAGGAGGGCGGGGTGAAGGGCGGCGGAGTAGTTGTCCGGCGGCGGGGGACGGGGGCGGTGGCGGGGCAAAACCCTGACGATGACGGTGGGGACGGCGAAGACGAGAAAGGCGAGGAGGAAGGCCCAGAAGGAATAGGCGAGCGCCTTCCGGGAGCAGACCACGCACCCCAAGTCCACGTACTTTTTCCTCCTCTTACTGTCGTCCGGCGACGCGCCGAGCAGCCAGCTCTGCTGCGTCTCGTCCAGGTCGGCGTGGCGGTGGTTGGTCGACGACCGCTGCGTCCCCGACGCCCTGTCCCACTCCTCCGTCGTCGTGGTGGACGACTCCGCCGGCGCGTTGTTGGCGCAGATCTCCAACGGCCCTCCCCAATGGTGCCCCGAATGCATTTTATTTCTTTGATTGACTCTCTCGATCGATCTGTTTCGATCTTCACAAATAAATATGGCTAAACTAATTACAAGAATGTTATATATCTATACATATTTATACCCGGTCCACTCTCTTGTTTCGTTTATTTATAAATTTTAGAATTCGTTTTCTTAAAAATGAAGATTTTTTTTTTTGAAAAGGTGTTTGTTTAAATTGTGTTGGGAATATATAGTTAGCGAAGGGGTGTGACAATCAATACATTGCATTTTACGAGAAAAAAAGAAAGAAAGAAAGAAAGAAAGGGAAAAGAAGATATATGGAAGAGGCCACGGCATGCATTGTCTTAATTGAGATAAACCGCACTCATGAACCAATTAACCAAACACTCCCTTGTCTGTCTATTAATTCAATTTAGTTTGTTTTTAATTAAATGAAATGAATCTAATTATCACTTAAAGTGTACTATATCCAATCTGTTGTTTTTTCAGTTTTGATTTTTATAATTTATCCATTTTTCACTTTTGATTTTTAATTAAATCCTTTATTATAATATTTGAGACTCGCTTCATGAGAGTTCGACAAGTGGACAATACACATGGTCATTTTTCGACACGTCAACATGCCATGTCATTTTTAGAGTATGTGCTGATAATTACTTTTTGTTGTTACATTTTTATTAATTAGTTATAATTATTCATTTTATAACTATAATAAAAAATGATGCGCTTTCTATTTCATGCCTTAATTACCTTAATTATTATAAATTTAAGTTTTTTCCATAACTAAAGCTAATCTGGGGTGATACTTTAATTTAAATAAAAGTTTTAATTATGATTAAATCCAAATTTTTTCTTTATGTAATTTTCATAATTTTTACTCAATGGTTTTAATAATTCTTATCTTATGTAATTTAAATAATTTTTACCTGATGATTATATGAATTCTTTCCTTATGTGATTTTTGTTATTCTATAGTTTACTTTTTGTAACATTATTAACTACTCCCTCCCCCCTTAAGATCTTCTCTTTTTAATTTTTTTTTGTCATTTTTAAGAAGACTTGATAAAAGATGAAAGTTTACCCAAATAAAAACGTGAAGTGTATTAAATGAGATGGTAGAGGTGTAATAAATAAAGTGTGGATAATTATGTTATTTTAAATGTTAAAGAAGATAATAAGAAAATCTATGAGATACAAATAAAAAGGGCTAATAAGAATAAAAAATGAAATTCTTAACTAACACACCAATTTAAAGTATGATAATAATAATAATAGTAATTTTAATTGATAAATAATATTATAGTGCAAAGAGAGAAATAAAACTATAATCTTGAAGTAAGTTTTATATTTTTATTCTCAAAATAGGAGCTAAAATATATTTACAATTCCAATTATGCCAATGCATAATACGAAAAAATGTGAAATGTCCTTATACACTCTTACATTAACATAATGTGAATTCTTATTTTGTGATAAAAATATGAAACTTCTATTTTTAATACTTTTTCTTTGTTTTACTTCTATTTAAGGTGATATGTTTAGTTTAAAATATCAAATGACAACAGAATTTTGAATAGAATAAATAAAAATCGTTTCAATGTTTCCCGTTGTTTAGAAAATAGGTAGGAATGCCCCATTTCCCCGTCTATTTTCAAAACTTATTCATAAAATCCTAATCGTTTCAAAAAGTTGCTCAAAATATCTCATAGGTAGGGATGGCAACGGGTCGGGTTCGGATCGGATAGTACTATACCCGAACCCGACCCGATTTTTTAAAACCGAAACCCGAACCCGACCCGAAACCCGACATTTTAAGCCAAAAACTCAACCCAACCCGAACCCGACATTTCAATCCAAAACCCGAACCCGACCCGAACCCGACTTTTAACCAATAATCAATTCGACGTACCTCAATAATTTTAAAAGGATTAAATTTAACTTTTTTGTGTCTCTTTTTTGTGTCTCATTTTTTGTTAAGGAATTATAAAAAATGATTAAAAAAGACATACTTCATATAGTAGCACTTTGTCAAGAGATTATATGGAGTGCTCATTATATCCATAGATAGACTTTTATGTTATAAAATATTCGGGTTTGAGTCGGGTCGGGTCGGGTAAAATTATAAACCCACACCCGACCCGACCCGATGTCGGGTTCGGGTAAAAAATTTCGGGTCGGGTTCGGATTATTTTATTCTCGGTTCGGGTTCGGATATTTTAGTACTCGGTCGGGTCGGTTAAGCTCGGGTTCGGGTTGAATTGCCATCCCTACTCATCGGACTATTTTTCGTTCATTTTTTTCATAGAAGAAGGGGCATTGATGCTCATATGATCATTTTTGAAACCACAAAGGTACGAGAGACCATTCTTTATTCATTCTTTATTACTCTTTATAAAATGTTATTTATAGTGTTTCTAAATTCAAATTAGTTTAGAGGAAAAAACTGAAAAAAATTAACATATAAATCATATAAATTATATGTCTCAAGTTAAACATTTTTATTTTTGTTATCAAATAAAATAAAAAATAGAAAAAAGATATAAAATAAAAGAAAAATTGAGGTGAGTAAGGAAATGAAGTTTCGTCCAAATCAAACCAAAAAAATCATTTGTTCGTTTTTGGGATATAATAGTTTTCCTAAAAATGATTTCGGCCTATTTGGGAATAACTATAGAGATTAGAGTTAGCATTTTGAAAAGACTACTAACGGACATCATTGAGCATTAACGCTCTTACAAAGTCGATCTGCACCGTTAAAATTTTATCCAAAACGCTAACGCTAATTGAAAAAAGAGGCTATTCGTACCACTTATGTTACCAAATATAGAAAGTGAGACTTGGATTTTTTGGAAAAATATTTTTTCCATAACAAAACAGATCTTAAAAGTTAAAGTCCAAAATAACAAAGCCATAGAAAAACTTAAGATAAATTACTGGAAAAAACTCGTTTAACCGAAAATGCATCGCACGGGTTAAAATACTATGCCCTTATCGTGAATCCTTAATGTATAAAAAGCAGACTCCAAACTGCAAGAACACGATATTTGGCGAACTTGACATGTGGTGGAGCTGTGTTGTCACTTTTTTACAAATAATATGTGACGTGCCAAGAGAGAAATAAAAAAAACTTTGCATGCCAAAAACATTAAAAACAAATCTGGATTCCAAAAGAATTGAATACTTAATTATTTCCTTTTTTTCAATTCTTCTATTTTCAATCATTTTCTTCCTTTCCTTTTATTCATTATTCTAAAATGATAATTATTTTTAAAAAACTTGATAACTAAAATTTATCATTTATAATATTTTTTCCTGAATTTCAATTAATCTTAAAAATTACACATGATTTTTAGTGTTTAAATTTTTTTATTAAAATAATATGGTGATCAATTATATATTCAATCGTACTACATTGAAATATCTATAAATTATTTTATTTTCTAAAACTTTTAAAAATTTGTTTTAAAAATTATTTTAAAAAATGAGATAAAAAGTTTTACAAAATTAGAGATGACATTATTGTATTATTTTCACACACGATCAGTATCAAATCTCTATTATAAAGCTCCATTCTATATGGTTTGGGGGGACGGGGTGAGACTATGAGAGTAGTTCTTTGCTTTTTTCGTAGAATTTGCTTTTTCCTAAAAAATGATTTCCTACTACTTATGTAACCAATTGTAGGAAATTAAATTTAAATTACCTAAAAAATATTTTTCTTTCAACAAAAAACTCTAAAAGTCAGAATCCAAAAGAAAGGTGTCATAATAATTTTCATTCCACCCGTGCATGGCACATGTTAAAGTACTTGTAGAAATTAAATGACACTCTCCGTCCGAAAATCATCTTTAATGTCATTTTGATTTACTTAATAATAAAAGTTTATCAATTTATAGGGTGCGTGGTTTGGTATTTGCGGAGTACCCGGAGTATATCACAAATGAAAATACTCCCTCCGCCCCCTGTATATGTCCACTTTCATTTTTGCACACCATCCAATGCACTTCTTTAATCCATTTTATCTTGTAATTTGTATATTAAAAAATTATAAAAATTATATATTAATAATCTATATGTTAAGACAAATCAAACAAGATCACACATGACTATATTTAGGCTTACACATTGAGAGAATTTGATGAGTCAAAGTGCTTAGATGAACAATTTCAAAAGTCAAATGTGGACAAATATAGGGAGACGGAGGGAATATGAATCTACGCGTATTAATTAATGCTGTTACCATAGACAAATTAATGTTTGCTTTTAATCTTGCCATTTACGGGATACGAAATATACTCCATATATGAAACATACTTTGAAAAAATTAAAATAACTCTCATATTTTTATCCCAAAATAAAATTAATGTCACTATATACCGCTGCAATGCCACTATGTCACTCTATAATATCAGACGAATCTACAATGTCTAAGTAATGGATATGGTCAAGTATAACATTAAATAATATCAAACATGTTGATTTGATCAACAGTTTATAGTGTCAAAAAAAAATTAGGGAGTATAAAACGTCAAGAAAAAACGTGAATTAATTTGTCTACATAAAATGTCACATCCATTGAATAAAATGTTCTTATTATGCTTATGTATAGAGCCACTCATAATTTTTAAAATCGGACCGGGCTGGCCGGTTCAGACTGAGAATTGGCGAATTGGTGGTCTGATTGTAATATGCATTGAATCGGTCTGAATCGGTAAGAATCGGTCGGTCAAACCAGTTTTCTTTTTTTTGCGGATTTGTATTCAAAAAAATTTATCCAACAAGAGGTTCGAATATAAAATCTCTTAGACACCTCGTTTAGTTGTAGACTATTTAATACTTCCTCCGTCCTTGAGTATTTGCCTATTTTTTATTTTTCGGTCAAAATTGATAAATTTTAACCTAAAATTAAATAAGAATGATATTAGATATTGATACACAAATAGTTTTATTAGATTTATCATATCAAACATTTCCAATATATATATATATATATATATATATATATACACATATATATATATATACATATATATATATATACATATATATATATATACATATATATATATATATATATATATATATATATATAATTTCATTATAGGTCAAAAGTTGAAAATAGTTGGCCGTGAAAAGTTAAAGCTGGAAAAATGCTCAGGGACAAAGGTAGTATGGTAGTTAAAAACTAAAGATTCTTAAGGATTTTATTTATTTTTTAAAAAAATTTAAAAAATAAATTGTTATAGGTAAGATTTAAATTCTAAATCATTGATATATTTAATATTATTACAAAATGCATTCATGCAAATATTTCATTTGAGTATTTTTTTAAATATTGAGTTAACTTATTTGAAAAATTAAAGTCGCCTCTTATTTTATAAAATTTTTAATATATTTTCAAATATGTAACTTTTTTAAATTTAGTGACATAAATCAAATAAATGAAATTGATTGATTATAATTTTGGTCAATTGTCGTATATATATATATATATATATATGTATGTATGTATGTATGTATATAAATTATAATTTATCCAATACTTGATTAAATTTGTATCTGACACATATAAAATCAATTTTTTAATAAAAATTATTATTTTTTTATTTATACAATTTAATTTTTTTTCTTGTAATGAAAGTATATTTTATGGAGTATATTTTAATTTTATTTTATATCTATTATTTTTATTTTTTTAAAGTAAGACTAATCCTTAAAAAAGGAAAAAGAAATGATGGAGGTAGAAAGTAATTTTAAAAATTTAAATGAAGAATTCAAAAAAATATAAAAAAAATGAAAATTCATAAAAAATAATCTCAACTTTCATTTTGTTGCGCAAAACAGGCATTTCCGTTAACCCTCCGTTAGAAACTTAATGGCGACCCAAAACTCGCAAAATTCAGTAAAATTCGGATTATTATGCATCACACTGAAAGGTGGGATTATTTTATAAAGACCAGGTAAAGTTGAGATTATTTTGGATTCCTTTATTTTAACTTGATTTAGAAATATAGCGTACAAGGAAGTCTTTCAAAACCTTTAATTTCGTTTTTTTGTCTTGACTATGCATTCCTCAATATTAGGGGGGTGTATTCAATTGAGAGTTTGCAGGATTTTTTTGGACTTTCAAAATCTGAGAGTATTCAATCTAGGTTTCTAAAAATCTTCAAAAATTTTAAGGTATTCAATAAAGAGTTTAAAAAATCTTAAAAAATCTTTAGGTATTCAAAAGTCAATGAATTTTAATACTCCGTAGATTTTGCTGGATTCTCACCCAAAATATTGCTTATCTCAAATCTCTTCTCAGATCTTCAGATTTTGATGGATTGTCACCCAAACCCATCACCATCCTGGCCGTGCTCCTTCTGTAGATCTGCCGATTTCATTCGCCTGAATCACAGAGACTCCATCGTTCTCCTCACCAACCCTCCTTCCTCGTAACGCCCAATTTCCTCGTTTTTTATTCCACATTCACTTCTGCAACGAAGCTTGAGTTTCCATCTCTTGTCCGACGACTCTTCTATTGTGCAGAGGGAAATCCCTTTTTCTGTTCCAGTACGCCACTACAAAAAAAGTGGGCATTACCGACAGATGCTTAGTGACAGAAACCTTATTTGTCGCTAAAAATAGAATATTACCGACAGATAAAATTATTTGAAGGTAAAAACTATTTGACCCACAGAAAGAGTAATATCTGTCGCTATTGGTTATAGTTTTAGCAACAAACTTTTATCTGTCGGTATTGCTTGTAGTTTTAACGACAAAACTTTATCTGTCAGTATTGTTTATAGTATTAGAAACAAAAAATTTATCTGTCGGTATTGTTTATAGTACTAGCAACAACTATTTATTTGTCGGTATTGTTTATAGTTTTAGCAACAATGTTTTATCTGTCGTTATTGATTTTATTGACATTTAATTTAAATATCTTAATTATAAAAAATAATAAAATTAGGCATCATTTAGTATACGAAATTGAGTTAATGAAATTGGAAATAAAAAAACCTCAATTTGAATTTTATTGTTTGATCGCGCAAATATATATGATATTAAAAATGAATTCTAAATTTAAAAGATAAAAACTAAAAATTAAGGATTAAAATAATTTTTTTACATTGAATATTTACAAACTAGAAATTATAATTTTTAATTTTAAAATTTTAAGTTATAAGTTAAAATTAAAGGACTAAACTCACTAAAGTATCTAAATAGAATCAAGACATATGATATAAACACAAATCAACAAATTAAAAATGAGAGGGATGAAAACGCTAGAACTATTAATATTATTGATGTAGAATAATAAGGTAGAGATTCTTAACCATTTTCAATGCGGTTAAAAGCTATGCAGGTCAACCGCAAATCGAAAACTGCAGGGCATTTATAGTTAAAANTTGGTTTGATTTTAGAGTCTAATTATAAGGAAAGGATTAATTAGCAAACATATTAGAAAAATGGGGGCTAATTTACAATATTGAGAAATTTTAATGTTGATAGAGGAGGATAAGAGGCGGAAGACGGATTGGGATTGGGAAGAAGGGGTTGGAGAACTTCGATCGGATCTGATACAAGAACGGAGCAGGACGACGCAGCAGAGCAACGTAACCGGCGACGACTTTCTTCTTCAACCAGAACTGCCGGCAGTGGGCTCGTATCTTCGATCAGCATCTGGACACAGAGCAGGGCCGGTGGTTGGCCTTAACCGTCGATCGGCTAGCATCGAGGCATGGAAGTCCGATTCCGACCTCTGTGATCCCGGACGGAAATCAGCGGCAGCCATCAGTCCAGCAGCTCTCCCTACAGTGAACTCCTGTCTCCGACGAGCTACAGTGCGCTTCTCTCTGGTTCGGTTTCAATTTCTTCACCTTTCTTTAATCTAAGCTTTATCACTTTTTTCTTCTGATAATTTAAACTTTTATGATATGTTTCTAAACTTTTTTTCATTTGTTAGATTTGTTTGCTAGTAGTTTCTAAACTTTTTTTCATTCTTCCCTGGTCTATGATAAGTTGTTTGCTCCCCTTCATGAATTCATGGCATATAGTAATATAACTAATGTGAATTAGTAACAGTAGTTTTCTTTACCAATATTATATGGAGTGTATAGTTTACAATGTCGCACAAGTTACTCCATAAGATTTTGTATTGCGAACACATTAGTTAAAATATACAAAAAGAATAAATTAATCCTTTCTTGCCCATGGTTGGAAGGAAGGGAGAGCAGTCCAAGACTAGCTTCTCATAATTAGAGTTTTGAGTTCAACCATTGCTGATTATATTAATGAATATAATACCTCTATTTATGCTACTCCCATGACTCCAAGCATCTTGGTGAGCAAGTTAATAGAGTCCTAAACTAGTACTGTTGCTATTAAGAATACTAAGCAAAATAGAATACGACTACTAGTAAGAAACCATGATTAATTACTAAAAACAACAATAATAATAGTGATATTAATAGTAATAGTATCACTTAATTATTGAAATTTAAATGGGCTCTCTTTCTAGATTATGATGTCTTTGTTTCAGATATTCAACATGAACCATGGTTTGGATCACGGTATATTGAAAAAGATATCTCACTCTCTCTGTTGGAATTATGGAAGGATCCTCCAGAGATTTATGAGTCATTACATTTACCTTATAAGAATGAATTTATGGCATCTGATTTTTCAATTCGTGCTGACGTAACATCATGTGATGGATGGAATGTATCTGCTCCCAAGTGCATTCTTGATGCACCCTTGATGAAATTTTGGTACAAGCTGGACAGTAGTTTTAAGATTCCCCGTACTAATACTTCTGCATTACACTTAAAGGAGCTTACAGTAATTTGAAATGTACTCTACTGACTGAATTGTTTGTCCTCCTTCTAAAAGACAAACTGAATGAGATTATCTATAAGGTTAGTTGCATGCCTTTCACCTTCAATCAGATAGTATTAAACCTTAAGCTTTGGAGTCTACTGATAATAGCAGGGATATAGTGTCATTTATGATTTTATATGTTCATATATTATATTGCAGGCTAGTGTGGCAAAGTTGGAAACATCTGTTTCCTTGTATAGTGACAAGTTGGAGTTGAAAGTGCATGGTTTTAATGACAAACTCCCAGATCTTCTACCAAAAGTTTCGGCAGCAACCAAGTCCTCACCCGAAGATGACCGCTTTTTGGTATATTTAAAAGCTAAAAATTGCATATTTCTATCAGTACATGTCTTTAAGCATCTTATTTCAACATGGTACTATAGGTTATATCAAGGAAGATATGGAAAGAACTTTGAAGAACACTAACATGAAGCCCTTGAATCATTCGTCATACTTGAGACTCCAAGTTTTGTGTCAGCATTTCTGGGATGTGGAGGAGAAACAATGCCTATTACATAACTTATGTATCGCAGATCTGAAGGCTTTTCTTCTAGATCTTCTTTCCCAGGTGTGGAAATTAATAATTCATTAAAAAGTCATTTGATTTTTGTTTAGTTCACTATATAGTTTAAAGTTATGCCACCTAGCATGGGTGTAAGGTAAATTTGGTGCAAAATTTGTAATTACATTATCATGTGCTTATATTTTTTTTGCATAGGATTCAATGGCTAATCAATCTAAAATCGATGACCTTACAATTGATGGTAATACAACCACTAAGAAAAATCACGATGAGGATCGACAGAACAAAGATGATGAAGCTGAGAGCGATGGACTTCAAGATGTAGACAGTGATGAGCATTAAAGCTTTGGGCTATATCTTTCATATCAATGCGTATATACATTTAGTTCACTTTGATTGTTTATACTTTAGCTTGAAACGCACGCAAATGATGAATTAATTTTGAGATGTTGGTTTACTTTCTAGTAAATGGGTTAGTTACGTTGTTAATCTTTGAAATGTTATCGTATTATGTATTGATGTTTATACAAGTATGAGTATTATTTTTTATTTATCAATGAAATTCTTTGATATCATTTAAATTGAGCATATTGGTGTGAAATATGATATTAGTAATAGTTATAATAAATATTAATGTTGGTCAAAATAAACTATTACCGACAGAAAAATGTTTTACTCATCCAAATTTTTTTGGGTATTTCAATTTTTAACGACAGTTATAATAAATGGTAATGTCGGTAAAAATAAAGTATTACCGACAGAAAAGAAGGATTTACCCACACTATTTTTTGTCGGTAATCCATGTATTAGCGACATATATGTTTTGTCGGTACTTCTCTCTTTTTTTAGCGACATCTTTGATCTGTCGCTATTACACTATTTTAGTGACAGTATATTTTATCTGTCGGTAATACTTTTACTGACGGAGTTTTTAGCGACAGCGTAGCGACAAACAATTATCTGTCGGTAAAAGTGAGTAGCGACAGATATTTATTTTTAGCGACATATTGGCCCCTGTCGGTATTGCCTCCTTTTTTTGTAGTGCGCGTTGAACTCCGCCATGGCTACCGACGGCGGCTCCGTGGTGTTCTTTTCCAGCCGCCGGAAGTTGGAGTCCGAACCCCCTTTTCTCGCTCCCGGCGTCGAATCTTCGTCCACCATTTTGAGCAGATTCACATCAAGTAAGGACAGTATTCGTTTGATTTTTTTTCTTCAGAATATGTTCCAACAGTAGATGATATAGTGCTCTGGATTGATCTTCTCATCTCTTCTCGTAGGTATATAGTTGATGAAGAAGGGATTAATCCTTTCCACTACTCCCTCGTCCCGTATTACTAGTGCCCGGTGGAAGATTTGTTGGCCTGCTGCAAAACCCGGCCCTGCCATGGGCCAATACAAATCCATGGAATGTATGAAGTCCATATAAATCAATAGAAAATTGGACAAAATCTACATGGAGTCTATAGATTTTCTAAATTCACAAACTTTTTAAAGTCTAAAAAAATCCAATACAATCTCAATTGAATACACCCCCCTTAGTATATAATACTTTTAATGTTTATATTGAATACAATTTCGTTGTGTTGTCTTTATATACACTATAAATTTATTTTTTATTTTCTTTCACTGTCTCAAAATACTGTCCGTGCAACGCACGGGGTAGAGAACTAGTATGTATTAATAGTCAAAGTATATTCAGAGTTGATAAAAGAAGTCAAATTGTGAAGTTCTTTGGAAGACATAAGGGTTTTTTACACGGAAAATACCTGAACTTTGCGCCTTGTAACAAAAAGATACATCATCTTTAACTTGTAACAAAAAAAACACCTTATCTTTAAAAAAATGTAACAAAAGAATACCCTTGCACATGTGACATTCTATTTGACTTTCTCATGTACATGTGACATTCTATATGGCTTCCAAAGAACTTATAATTTATCCAATACTTGATTAAATTCGTGTCTGACACATATAAAATCATTTTTAATAAAAATTTTTATTTTTTGTACAATTTAATTTCTTTTTCTTGAAATGAAAGTATATTTTATGGAGTATATGTTAATTTTATTTTAACCTTGTACTTTCTATAAATTTTTATTTTAATTTTAGCATTTTGAAAATTTATAATTTACAAGATACTTTGTATTTTAAACATAAGTAGCAATAACATTTTAATGATTGTCTATAATATATTTTTTAAGATCTATTTAAATTTTTTAAAATTTTAAAAATACCTATTATTATTACTACTACTAGTACAATTAGGACTATCATCATTATCGAGTATTATTGACGTGTAAGTTTTTATAGATTATCTAAGGATTTTTTAAAAGAGGCATTCATGCAACAACATCTTGTTTATTTATCTATTCAAATTCTAACTTCAAAAGATTGTAAATAACTAAATATTTTAATCACGTATAGAAGAAGTTACAAGTTAATTTAAAATTCATATGAAATGTTACATGTAAACTACGAAGCCAAGTAGAAGGCCACATGTGCATTTACCGACTGGATTTTAAAAATTTCGGCAAAGGGCATCTTTTGTTATATTTAAAAATGATACAAAGTACTCCCTCTGTCCCTAATTTGATTACAATTTTTTTCTCACATCTCAATAACTTTTGTTTGTTTATGCAATTTCATTAAGTATTTGATAAAATAAAATATTCTTATCATATCTTATTTTGTAGAATTTTTGACGTAATTTTTTAATATGTAATTTTTATTTCTTATCGATATACCTACTTGTAAATAAAATAATTTCAAAAAGTGAGATACCTCTCCTCGTAAACTCCAGTTTGTAATCAAATTGGGGATAGAAAGAGTATGTTTTACTTTCACTTAACTTCTTAAAGAGTAATGCGGAGTATTTGACACGGCTTCATTCTATTGACTCTCTTCATTTGAAGCACTAAAAAAATTGATGTTTTCCATCCCTCAAAAAAATCTAACCCTCTGGCCCCACCCTATCCTTGACCCTCCACTCCTATTATTTGGCAACAAAAGTATCATCAAATGACGAACAAGAAGAGGAGGTGGAGACGCATGGAAGAAGGTTTAGGAAGGGATTAGTGGAGATAACTCGGACTATTAATTTTTCAAACGCAGCACGGTACATTACCCAAAAATGCAGAATAGGCACAAAATATTTGGCACGGATAGTGTCGTGCCAAGCCCGCGAAGAAGAGCGAGCCACATGGCGCGTTCTTATTCGCTCAGTATTTGACACGGACCTATTCGTGCCTCCTAACTGCTGTCGGAACCACGGCGGATTGGTGGGCTGTGTAATTAAAGAATATAAATGACACCAAATAGTTGGAATTACAATAGAGTTTTTTCCCTTCCTGAATAGCTATTGCACATATGATAATTTAAACCGACCCGAAAAATCGGGGGGGACGCAGACCCCCGGATCCAGCTCATTATCAGCAAAAATGACAAGTTTATACCTCATAAAAGGGCAACTTTATTTGTAGTGAAACAACAATCCCAAGCTCTTTCCATGCCATCTTTGAAACTATTATGCTTGTAGTTTAAGATATGAGTTTATAACTCCCATCATCTCACTCCCACAGAACCGCCCAAGGCAACCTCTTGCAGCTGCTACCTCACTGAACTCCCCCACAGAGTCCCCACCAAAACCCTCTGCTCGGTTCTCCTCTTCGACTCCCAAATCAGCAGTTAAACTTCCGCTGGCATTGGTGGTTGGAAGGGGGAATGGATCCAGTGAGGTTTCTAAGAGGGCTGCCTCTCCCCCGACCGCGCCCACAAAGTCCTTCAGACTGCACAATGCAAATGGGACAGGTTCGAAGCTGTGGTCCCCATACTCGACGGGTGTAGAGTGGTCCCCTGTGACACAGAGGAAGAACTCGAATTTGCCCGATGATTGTGCTGGCCATAGAAGTTTAGCCAGCTGCCCTAGAGCACGATCTACGGCTTCAAGTCCTCTTACTTTGAAAACACTTGCTTTGTCATGACCAGCATCGTCTATTGCCTACAAACCAAAAAATAAAAGTGAAATTTGCACTAAATAGGACTAAAACATAATGACTTTCCCAATGTAGGACTTAAACTTTTTTATTCCCTAAATAGGACTTAATAATGACCTAGTGAGAGGAATAATGTCCAGTAATGATGGACATTTACTTGAATAATGACTACTTCATAATGACCAAAGGTCCTACATTGGGAAATAAAATCATATGGTCCTATCTTAGGAAAGTCATTATGTTTTAGTCCTATTTAAGTAAATTTCTCAAAATAAAATCTTTACCGTCTGGTCAGTTGAGAGATCAAGCAATAAATAAAGAGTAAGAGATAAAATATAAGTAACATTTAGAAAAGTTTTAAGCAGCAAACTTGATTTTCTTTCATAACTTTCAACCTAAAACGAAACATCAAAAACCATTTTCATCATTACTTTTTTTTTATTTCCTACCGTTTTGTGAGTTCCGAAAAGCTTGTGGAGTATGGGTTTTTATGTTTGGTTTTACCTTTAAATCTCCAAGCAAAAACCAAATTCAAATAAAAGTATTTAATTTTTAAAATAAATTAGATTTACTAGTCTTTATATAATAAAAATACTTAAATAAAATGGGTTTGAACAAATATCTACTTGGGGGCAGCTGCTCCTTCCTTTCAAATTTCCTCTTTATTTTCCTCCCTATTTTCTTTCCCTACCATTTTCAATGTTCCAGACCTCTATTGAATTTGTATCAATGGAAACTTCTAACACAATAATTTTGGCTACACCTCAGACATCTGAGAAACAAACACAGTGATCTTATCATATACGGAGTATCACCTTAATGTGAAGAAACCCAAAGTCATAGCCATCAGATATACCAGGCTTGTGCTCATCTTCACCAGGAACAAAAAAATTGGGGCAAGACTGCAGAGGAGCAGAGAGTGCATTCGCTATGGCAGTTGCTTTGGATGTTAATATAGTCCGGTAATCTCCAGTCGCCCCAGGAGCTTCTAGAATATCAACCCCAAGCGACAGACCTAGCCCAGCTATTATCTTGGTAGGAGCAACCATGCATGGCCTGAGCCCATGTATCGTTTCAAACGGAGGAACCTAGACAGAAAGAATGATGCACAGTCCACTTGAGAGTTGACAATCTAGCAAAAGATGAAAAATGCAAGGAAAATTGTTTTCTTATATTTGGTTTTGCCTTGGAAAATTCAAACAAAAAAAGTGATCGTTTTAAAAAAATTGTTAGATCAAAATGTCACATTAAACTTCCCTTCTTACTTTCTATGAAGGTTTGGATAGTAAATGCAGCAATGCATAAACGGAAACATCTTGATTCCAAGATCCCAACGGAGTTGGGATTATATTGGGTTGTTATTGG